TGGGGAAATTTTAATTTGATGAAGTTGTTTAAATCCTTGGGTATTTCATCCCCCTGCTTGATCTTCAGAGGGAAGTTCTCATCCCCTCCCAATTTTGAGTTTCCAGCTCTTGCTAAACATTTTACCTTTTGGTAAATTTGGGAGACGATCCAAGGACAAAAAATGTGAACCCCTTACAGAAACTATTTTGTGAGTTACTGCTTGATTTATTTTTTAACCTTTTGAGAACCAAGTAATTTCCCGGTGTTCCAATTTGTCCCAGCAATTGTTGCAATCAGAATTTTAGTTTCAGGGAAATTTTTTTTGTAAGTTCCCTAATTGCATTGAATTTGTATTTCCCCATCCTTAGAGGATATTTTCTTCTTTTATCTCCCTTTTAGCTTTCGTAAAGGATTTCAAAACCCTCTTTTTTCCAGTACCTTGAAGATTGTCCCCTAGAAAATTTTCTTTTTTCTTCTTTTAAGGGGCTTTCAGATTTTTTTTCAAAAGGTATTTAGGTACTTTTATAAGAATGGGGAGGATTTGACCAAACAAACTGATTTTAAAAGAAAAGTTTTTTACAGGATTTGAGGATCATGTGGGTTTTTAGGCCCCAAAACCGAGTAAAATCCGTTTTTCTTGCAGTAATCTTTAAAAAAGCCTTGGAAAATCACCGTGTAGGCATTTGGGTTTTTTGGGAAATTTCATAAGCCCGTCTCCAAGCTTTTCAGTTAGTGAGGGTCCGGTCATCAGACAGTCTTAAGACTTTTACATCTTCATTTGCCGTGCCTGAATTATATAAAAACACTATGGGGGGTTTTAGAATCTTTTTTCTCCCGGGGGGCGGGAATAAGAGCTTCTGTTTTCAATTTTCTTTGACACTTTCCCCAATTTTAATTTTTTTGTCCCACCGACTCATGTATTTGTCTTCATTGTCCGAAAACCATGCTAATTCTAGGGCGGTGGGGATTTAATTTCCCCTGGAACCCAAAAACCCAAAACTGTCCTCTTTATACTACTTCCAAAAATTGGTTTAAGTCTGAACCTTGTGGCTTTGGGTTTTTTACATCAATACCTATCCACTAAATCCCACAATTATCAAGGTTCATTCATTTCTTCCAGTAAGAAAATTTTTTCTGTGGACTGATCAACGGGTTTTTCCGTAACTAGTAATTTCCACTGAAACAATGCCAGTTCTTTCCCACTTTTAGAGGGAATGGACCACTTTCATTTGGGGTCCTGCTGTTTTCAGCAAGGAACACATGTTTACTTAATATTTTTCAAAAACAGTGTAATAATCCTTCCCAAAGATTAAATCAATTTGGATAATAGGTCCGTCTTATGTCAGGACAGGGTAACTTTTACCTTAGCTGCTTTCATCTGCCAAATGTTTCTTTTAATCCCCGATCTGCCAATCTTAGGGAAATTTTTTTAAAACCACAACTTCTACCCTCCCCGTTTTCCTTTACCAACATGATTTGGCTGGTATTTCTGTTTTTCCAAAATTTGAAAAAAAACCCGCTTATCTAACTGTACTTTTTCATGGGGTTTTTTTTTCATTTTTTGCAACTCTGTTCTTCTTATGAAGGACCTTTGTGAGCCTTGATCAAATAATGTTAGCACACTGGTTTTGTGTAATTTATTAGATAACTCAACTCGAGCTATCGGGAGAGCATTGCTTTAAACTTATCTCTCACATTTAATGCTGTTGCTTTTTGACTTCCTGATTCTGTGGAAGTCTTCTGCTGTTCAGCAAAGTATATGGGAATAATTCTGTATGATTCATACCCTTGCATTTAAAACACTTCTTCAGTAGCATTTTCCTCCTTGTGTTCACCTAAACACTTGATGCACCTTTTCAGCTGATGAACACGTTGTTTACGTGCCTCCATTGATGTGTATTGAATACAATACTGTGCCCAATGTGTTCCATCACAAAGTACAACATTTTGGAGTACGTTTATGTGTGACAGTTTGTTTACTGTCTGTTGTATCACAGCTTGATAATGCCTATATGGGATTTCCCATTCTGTGGTTTAGTGGGAGTAGGTATGCTCTTTTTATACTGAGTTGATGGTTTGTTATCCACGGGATTTGTGGATTTTTCATCTTGTCTCGTTGCTTGCATGCATGAAACTATTGTTTGTAAACCATTGCTAATTTCTCACAAGTGAAATAGCGTTTATTGAACATAATATTTAATCGTTCAATAGTTTGTGGTGACAACTTATCTTGTACAATACCACTGATAAACCATCACATTGTCTTAGGTCATATTTAGCACCTAGAGATCTGAGACTATTGTCTAATATGATCCTAAATGCCTGTCTTAGTCATAAGTCTAGTTGTAGATCCAATATAACTCTTATATCATTTTACTTAGAAAATTTTGTTTGTAAAATTACTCTCATCCTATGATAACAGACATAGATCCTGATGTAAACTTTTTACTAAATGAGTTAATTTAGACACATGTGCAACTCCTGGGTATCTTTATTGAGGAAACGTTTCGCCACACAGTGGCTTCATCAGTCCATACCAAGGAGAATCTTGAAGAACATGTCGGTTCTCTGAACCATTCATCTACAAAATGAATTACATGAATCAACCAGTAACTGTAATTACTACACAGCAGACCAAGCAAAGACATTACTCAGTGCTAACAATAACATAACCATCTTTAACTACAATGTCAGATCCTTGAGCAAACATTATGATGACCTCACAGCATTACTCAGTTCCCTTCATTCCAATATATCAATCATCACACTCACAGAAACCTGGCTTAAGCCTGATATTACAGATTTCTATGTCATTCCTGGCTACATGGCCATACACAACTGTAGAACAGACCAGCAAATCAACTCGAATGTATCAGTAAATCTTGCATAAGGGATGAACATGGAGAATATATCATAGCCAAATTTAAATCAAAAGACCTGCAAAAACCCCTCACAGTTATAAACATCTACAGAGTACCACAGTCAAACATTTATCACTTCAGTGAAAAACTAGGAAACATGATTACTGATGCACACATGAATAAAGACCACCTACTACTAACAGGTGATTTCAACATAAACATACTACACGACCAGGACCCACAAGTAACCGAATTCACAAATACAATGAGTAACTGCCTGTTGCTACCAGCAATATCTAAACCTACAAGAATCTCCGAGACAAGCATCTCTCCTTAATAGACCACATCTGGACAAACACCATATCACCTTTAAAATCACTGACAACACTACAGACCACTACCAAACCTTTCTCATAACTAATCTGGGCAAACTACCACAAGACATTACTAAAGTAACCTTCAGACTACATAACGAGTCAGCAGTTAACAACTTTATGGCAGCTATGAATAACATCGATTGGCAAAATGAGCTTGAAACATATACAGATATGAATGAATGTATAAATAATTTTCTAAAAAAAGCCCAATGCCTCTACAACAGACATTGCCCCAGAAAAACTAAACAAATCACAGCAAAGAGACTGAATAATCCCTGGCTAACACCAAGCATCCTCAAATTCATTAACACAAAGCACAAATATGAAAAACAGTATAGAATGGGTCAAATAACTAGAGAACAGTCGAGAAATTACTCGTCAGCACTTACCAGCCTGATAAGAAGGTCAAAAAAATTGTATTATGAAAATAGATTACATAACATCAAGGTGATATGAAAAAAAAAACTGGAAAACTCTATCTGAAATTCTTGGAACTAAAAAGTTATCCAAAAACAAAGCAATCAAACTAACAAAATCAGATGCACCCCTACTCACTCCAACCGAAACAGCAAACAGACTTAATGTTTTCTTCTCCACCATAGGAAAAAATCTAGCAAACAAAATACCAAGTACAAACGCCCGTCCATCAGACTACCTCATAGGTACCTACCCAAATACGCTATTCCTAGCTCCAACCAACCGCACTGAAGTTATGCTCATCATAAACACCCTTAAAAACAAGGCAGGAGACATAAACCACTTTCCTGTTTTTATGTACAAAAAAGCTCCTCAAGTATTGTCACGAATTATTGCAACACTCTTTAACAAATCCATTGAATCATCTACCTTCCCAACAATCCTCAAAATAGCGAGGGTCACTCCGATCCATAAAGGAGGTGACCAAGCTGACTTGAATAACTATAGACCAATATCTAACTTACCACTGCTCTCTAAAATCTTTGAAAAGTTAATTCATAGACGAATCTATTCCTACCTCGTTTCACACAACATATTAAACCCTTGTCAGTTTGGATTCAGAAATAATAAAAGCACAAATGATGCTATCATACTCATGCTAGAACTAATATATACCGCACTTGAAAAGAAAGAATTCCCGCTGGGCATTTTCAATGATCTATGTAAAGCTTTCGATACAGTCGACCATGAACTGATGTACTCCAAATTAATGCACTATGGTATCAGAGGCCACTCCCTCAACTACCTAAAATCATACCTTAGTAACAGAACTCAGTATGTGTATGCAAATGACGCAAACTCTTCCACCCAACCAATCACAGTAGGAGTGCCACAAGGAAGCGTCCTTGGACCACTCCTCTTTCTTATCTACATCAATGATCTACCGAATGCATCACAGCTACTCAAACCCATATTATTTGCAGATGACACTACATATGTATTTTCCCACCCAAACGCAGTCACACTAGCAAACACAGTCAATGCTGAATTACAGAAAATATCTGCCTGGATGATGACTAACAAACTTACCCTGAACACTGATAAAACCTATTTCATTCAGTTTGGAAACAAAGCTGCAAATGATCCAATTAACATTACGCTAAATGGATCATCAGTCACAAGACTCACAGAGGGAAAATTCCTAGGTATCCACCTTGACAGTAGCCTTAAGTTCCGGACACACATACAACAAATCACCAAGAAAATCTCCAAGACTGTAGGCATACTATCAAAGATAAGGTACTACGTTCCACAATCAGCTCTCCTGGCACTGTACCATTCACTCATATACCCTTATCTTACAGATGGAATTTGTGCATGGGGATCAACAACATCAAATCACCTAAAACCCTTAATAACCCAGCAAAAGGCAGCAGTAAGAATGATAACAAATTCCCACTCCCGCCAGCATACTCCACCAATTTTCAAAAGTCTGAATCTGCTCACCATTAAGAACATCCATACTTATTCATGTGCCTACTACATACACAGAACAATACAAGCAAATATAAACCCTCCACTCAAACTTCTCCTCACCAACCTAAACAGGACACATGACCACAACACAAGACTCAGATCTCTTTTTGATATAACTCGTGTCCATATCACACTGTGTAAAAACTCTATGCACATAAAGGGCCCCAAAATATGGAATTCATTAGCAGAAGATATTAAAGTAACCAAGTCTGAAAATCAATTTAAGACTCTTCTCAAAAGCCACTTCATCACCCTAGCCTAAATGTTAAATACTCAAAATACATTTACTCACCTATGTACTCCCACACCATAACTGAAACAATTACATTGAACCTTTTATCCATTGTTGACAGGAATATAATTTAATCATTGTTTTTCACAAAAGCATTTTAGAATATAAATATATCTTTCTATTATACAAATTTTGATTCATTTATAATTAATATTCTACTGCACGACTATGAAATAATTACTATCCTACTGTACAACTATGATATACTCCTTAGTATTAAGTAGACTGTAAGACAATAATGTTAAGTTGGCCCATAATGCCAAGGCATAATAGAGGCTCTCTTTGCATTGCAACCCATTATTGTATATACACAATCTCAATGTACTGTTTGCAAAGACATTAAATAAATAAATAAATAAATAAGTCTGAAAAACAATGTTTGGGTGGCTTCAAGCTTGATATTAAGACTGCATGTCTAACTCTAGCCTTGTCAGCATCAAAGTAATTATCTGCTAAGACACGTAAGGCTATTTGATAATTGCCTTTAACCACCGGAAATGACTTAATCAGTTCATAGGGTTCTCCCTTCACAAGACATTTAAGATAATTGAACTTAGCATTCTCATCTATGTCAGTTCGTGAATTTACTATGGATTGAAAACCAGTAATGAATTCTTCATAATTATTACCTTGGAAAATAGATAACGACAAGGTAGGTAAACTTGGTAATGGGACACTTGTTGTTACAGGTGTAACAGGTGTTTAGTGAGACTCCTTCTTTGTCCACCATTGATGAGCTTTTATACCTCCTCTCGACCTCAGTTTTAGTAGCAGCTTCACATTCTATACCCCAAACCTTGGGCAGGCATTCTCAGAAGTACGTGCCTTGGTGGTCTCCTGCTTGTGGTGACCTGTACTTAACTCTGTGAAGAAGTGTCTTGTGTGCTCCCCGTGGACTGAACCAAGATGCCCTCAATCGAGCAACTTTACCAGCAGCTTAAGGAAGAATTTAGAGTAGCGAAGATGGAGATACGGCGATTGACCGAGGAAAACAAGAGGATTCGTAGTAGTCCTCCTGTTTCGAGTCCTCAGGTCAAGAAGGGAACGTGGACAGTGGCTGGACAGCATGAGACGAAGTTGACGATCAAGAAGACGAATGGAAAGGTAGAGACAACGATGAAGAAAGAGACTGCTGTGAGAACTGTTGTGGAAACATCCAATGCATTCTCGGTGCTACCCGACGAATGTGAATCGACTACTGGGAACGCCACTACAAACGACACCAAGGAAGGTAAGAATATTGTTGTTGTTGGGGATAGCCAGGTTAGATATATGGATAGGGCTTTCTGCTTGAAGGACAGGAGTAGGAGACAGAGAGCTTGTTTTCCTGGGGCTGGGATGGAGGACATTGTTAGCTGGCTTGACAACATCATGAACGGTAATGGGATCAATCCCATCATCTGCCTCAGTGCTGGAGGCAATGATGTAGGCAAGCGCAGAAGTGAGGACTTAGCTAGAAGGTTCAGGACAGCAATAGACATAATTAGGAAGAAGAGGGGGGGGGGGTGCCCTGTTTTATGTGACATTTTCCCAAGAAGGGGTGTTGGTAATGAATGGTTGTCCAGAGCAATTGGTATTAATTGCTGGCTGGATAAACACTGTAAGGATAATGCAGTACCATTCATTGACAACTGGGACAACTTCTATGGCCGAAATGACATGTATGCCAGGGATGGGATTCACTTATCCAGGGCAGGTGTGGGTTTTCTTGCTAGCTCAGTTGAGGGGGTTGTTAGGACTTTAAACTAAGATTAGTTAGAGGTTATGGGTTTAGAAATGATAAAAAATGAGTATAGATATATTGACTTATGCTCTGATATTAAGAATCTTAATAGTAACTGTCATGGAGTAACCCTATGTAATGATAATTTTAGAAATTGTGTAAAAACAAAGATGAATAGGAAAAATGTGCAAAAGAAAAAACATATGATGGTGTTTTATGCTGACAGTCGAAGTGCAAGAAATAAGATTAATGAACTACGTTTGATAGCATGTGCTGGGAACTTCGATGTCATTGCATTAACTGAAACGTGGTATGATTTAAAGAGTCGGGATATGATTGCTGAGTGTAATATTCAAGGGTTTAAGTTGTTCCATGTGGATAGATGTTGTGGGAAGGGGGGAGGAATTGCATTATATGTTCGAGAAAATATTAACTGTTGCACAAAAACAGGTATAAAAATAGATGGAACAGCAACAGAATCTGTTTGGGTAGAGTTTGCCGATTATAATGGACTTAGGGAACACCTGTCAAATCTTGATTGGAGTTATCTACTTAATGATTCTATTGACGATGATCATACTTATGATTACGAAGGGATCTGCGTTTATGATTCTTTTCTTAATAATGTACACCGTCCTCAGCGTATATACATTCCCCAGAGATAAATTAGATCTGATAATAACGATCCCAAATGGGTTACCAGGAGGCTAAAGCATTTATTAGGGAAGAAAAGGGGAATATATAGGCGCATCAGAAGAGGAGAGGTTAACCATTCTGACCAATACGTTCAGCTTAAAAGAGAAGTAAAAAAGGGGATTAGAAAGGCTAAACGTGACTATGAAATTAGAGTTGCTAATGAATCAAAGACCAATCCAAAGGGGTTCTTTCAAGTGTATAGGACGAAGGTTAAGGAAAAAGTAGGACCTCTGAAAATTGGGAATGGACAGCTGACGGATAACGAACTGGAAATGTGTTCCATATTTAATGACTATTTTTTGTCAGTTTTTACACAGGAAGACATAAATGAGATTCCAGAAATTAACAATTATTCAGTTCCTGACGAATTCAAATTGACTAATATTACTGTCACGAGGGACATGGTTATCAAACAGATAGACAAACTGAAGCAGTGGTGACGTGTACTTAGCTCTGTGAAGACCTGTTTGTGTGCTCTTGAGTGGTGACCTGTACTTTGAGTGCTGACCTGTACTTAACTCTTTGAATAAGTGTCTTGTTTGCTCCCGTGGACTGAACCAAGATGCCCTCCATCGAGCAACTTTACCAGCAACTTAAGGAAGAATTGAGGGCAGCGAAGATGGAGATACGGCGACTGACCGAAGAAAACAAGAGGATTCGTAGTAGTCCTCCTGTTTCGAGTCCTCAGGTCAAGAAGGGATCGTGGTCAGTGGTTGGACAGCAGGGGACGACGAAGTTGACGATCAAGAAGACGAATGGAAAGCCAGAAACGATGAAGAAGAAAGAGACTGCTGTGGAAACCCCCCGTGGAAACCTCCAACGCATTCTCGTGCTACCCGACGAATGTAGTCTACTACTGGGATCGTCACGACGAACGACAACAAGGAAGGTAAAATATTTTTTGTTGTTGGGGATAGCCGGGTTAGATACATGGATAGGGCTTTCTGCTTGAAGGATAGGAGTGGGAGACAAAGGGTATGCTTTCCTGGGGCTGGGATGGAGGACATTGTTAGCGGCTTGACAACATCATGAAGGGTAATGGGATCAATCCTATTATTTGCCTCAGTGCTGGAGGCAATGATGTGGCAAGCGTAGAAGTGAGGATTTAGTTAGAAAGTTCAGGACAGCTATAGACATGATTAGGAAGAAGGGGGGGCGGCCCTGTTATATGTGGCATTTTGCCAAGAAGGGGTGTTGGTAATGAATGTTGCCCCAGAGCAATGGTATTAATTGTTGGCTGATAAACACTGTAAGGATAATGCAGTACCTTTCATTGACAACTGGGACAACTTCTATGGCCGAAATGACATGTAAAGCCAGGGAAGGGGTTCACTTAAAACCCGGGAGGTGTGGGTTTTCTTGCTAACCTCCCGTTGAGGGGGTTTTAGGACTTTAAACTAGGATTAGTTAAGTATGGGTTTTTGCAGGAAAACTGTGAAGTCGCAGGTAGTAATATGAGTACTAGGAGAACTAGTAATAGGCAAAATGAGGTGGATATTGGAAAGCCAGTTCCCCTAAATTTACAAGGACAGTAATAGGTTTAGTGGAAAAAAATAGAAAAAAGCAGGAAGGGTAAAGAGAGAGGAGGGTCATTAAAAGTTTATTACACAAATAGTCGCAGTGCTAAAGGGAAAAAGATGGGCGAGTTTTTAGACTAGTTGCTAGTGCAGGAAAAATAGATGTATTTGCCATTACTGAGACGTGGTTTTAATTCAAAAAGTCGGGACAAAGCCCCAGTGTCCTTAGGGTAAGGCCAATGTAGTGGAAGTTGCGTCTGTAAATTAACTTTGCATTTGTTGGGCACAAAGAGTCCTGTTTTTAATTTCCAAGGGGTAGAAAAATTATTTTGGTTGGGATAATCCCCTTAATTGTGGACCAAGGGCTACCAGGTGGAGGTTTTGGGCCCAAAGCCCGGGTTAATTCCCGGGGGTTTAATTGTTTATTTGGAATTTCTTACTGAATTTAGATCCATAAAGTTTATTTAAACTGTTCTTTTTTTGCCGTTTTCAAAATACAAGGGGAAATAACCTCGACTTAAATTTGGGGACTGAATTCCCTATTTTTGGTTTCCTTTTCCCAATTTTTTAAAAGAATGGAGATGAAGAGGGTATCGAAACGTTTTCCTATAAAGATTTCCAGAAAGCAGAGAGTTTCCATTAATGGGTTCAAATCAGAATGGGGCTTAGTTACTAGTGGCATTCCACAAGGATCAGTTTTAGACCCTCTCTTGTTCATAATTTACATTAATGACCTTGATGAAGGCATTACGAGTGACATGAGAAAGTTTGCTGATGATACAAAGATAGGCCGTATGATTCATTCTGAGGAGGATAGCAATGAACTGCAGGAGGATTTAGACAAATTAATGTCTTGGTCTGAAAAATGGCAGATGAAGTTCATTGTGGATAAGTGTAAGGTACTGGTCCTTGGTAATGAAAATAACCCTCGAAGCTATAATCTAGGTGAAGTAGAGCTTCATCATACATAGTGTGAAAAGGACTCGGGAGTCATGGGAAGCAGAAACCTAAAGCCAAGACAGCAGTGCCTTAGTGTGGGCAACAAAGCAAACAGATTACTTGGATTTATCTCAAGAAGTATAAGTAACAAAAGCCGAAAAGTTATTTTACAGCTCTATACATCACTAGTGAGGCCTCATTTAGATTATGCTGCTCAGTTTTGGTCTCCTTACTACAGGATGGATATAGACTCATTGGAGAACAT